CCAATTTTGCAAAATGGTAAATAACTTTTCTGTTCAGAATGACCCGATCTACCTACACACGGCGGCTTTATAGTTCGTTGTCAGACACCCTGTATGTAATAGCGATTTCGGCTGGTCTGCACCGGTGTGCCACCTGTGTAGAGTTGGTGCAATTGTGTGCAACACCGCATCGGTGTATGTACTGATTACATTAACTGGCTCCGACTAATTTGTGAGAGCCACTTTGTATACACCCAACATGCACCTATGCGGTGTACTGAGCTCAGACGAATACGCGGAACCAGCAAAGAACTGCTGCCATTCGACCAGCCGTACACATAATTTGCACCAACACCCGAAATGTGCAGTCGGTGCAAACCAGCCGAAATCGCTATAATATTATTTCATGTTCTTAAAGGTACTCTACATATTTAATATCATCCTTCGAAAAAACTTATTTTCTCTTAATAATATTTGGAGTGCTTACATTAAGCTTTAATATTTTTTCTGTGAGTATCATTTCTGAAATATGTTTCCTTCCAAAAACACTGCAAATAATGTAATTCCTATGCGAAAGTATAATATATATAAATGTAATGTCGCATAATAAATTTTTTACTATTTTTAAAATATCTAAAGTGTCCTATCAATGGTGTAATTAATTAATGTGTTAGATTTTTCAGGTTACATCATCTACGTGCAACATCGACGAACTCGTATTATATTTTGTAATAACAATTATCGCTTTTATATATATGTTTTGGGCTAATTTTATAGGTCAAGAAATTACAGATCACTATAATGACGTATTTATGACTGTGTAAGAAAAACGTTTTTTATATTTCCAAAACTTCTCGGTAGTGTACCGAAAACCAATTCATAATATTTAGAAATATGTGACGTATGTCTCAAAATAATTTTATAAAAATTTAAATACTTGTACTTATTTTGTTGTGTGTTTATACCAACGCTCTCTAATTCTCAACATAATTAACATATGTAGATATAAAATTCCGTGGTATATATTTCCTCTGCATCTTCAAAAATTAATAGTTCTACTATTACAAAGAGGTAACAAAACATTTGGTTTGAATGTCGGTGGATTGTTTATAGCATCTCTACAATGTTTCGCCACGGTAAAAAATATGCAATATATAATAGACTAAATGGTATGTTCTTCAAAACAAAAAAAACAAAAACCAGACAAATAGTTTATGTTTCAGTTGGTAAACGCTTCGGTATCTTATTTTACTGTGATGTATTCCACGCAATAGATAATAGTACATGTCAATAATATGTATGAAATATTGAATACGATTACTGCAAATNAAATTAACTTTTTTTGAAATGCTTATGTTTTNTAATNACGACATGTANTTTTACAACATAAATAATCATAACTTTGATTAAAAGATATATTAAACAACTTATTATACAAATACAAAATCAAAATTTGTTACTTCTTCATATTGTACCTACATTTCGTACAATAAAAACTTGAGGNGCAGCTTGCATCAAATCTTCTAAGAAAGAAACGTATCTCACAAGCACATATAGAGAACTGAATTATGTGTAATCACAACTTGGAAAAAAATGATATGCGCGTGCGCTACTTTTACATCACAACTTGTTGCATGAACAGTATTTTATGTATGAGAAAAAAACACCTGTTCAATGTCTATCGTCGTTTTATCGATTGCTTAAGAGAAAAATATATTGTATCCGAAGTGGTAAATTGCAACTGTTGCGATCTCATGAGAATAGTGCTATATTATTATGAGACGGCATTTAGGCTGCAGTAAAAAAATTTGTAAATTACAAAATGGAAAAATTACGCCAAAGGTAGTAAATGTGCAAAATATGTCATTAAATAATAAAGTACTTCTACCAAGAGGGAGTGAATTCTTTTTATTTCTATNTTTGTGCTGGGAACTAGCGAAAGGATGATCAATGTCAAGGATCGGTATTTCAGGTTGAATCGGATTCTATTGCAAGCAGTCGGTTTATGGCCTTATCAGAATTCGAAATTCGACCGCCTTCAGTTGCATTGTG